TATGTATGTATGTATGTATGTATGTATGTATGTATGTATGTATGTATCTATGTATCTATGTATGTATGTGTATGTGTGTATGTATGTATGTATGTATGTTTGTATGTATATATGTCTGTATGTATGTATGGATGTATGTTTGGATGGATGTGCATATAGCTCATCAGAGACTCTACTTCCTCAGACGACTGAGGCGAGATGGTCTGGGAAGCTCAGTCCTCACCTCCTTCTACAGGTGTGCAGTGGAGAGCATCCTGTGCTCCAACATCAATGTGTGGCATGGAGGCTGCACAAAAAAATAAAGAAAGAAAGAAAAGAAAAGCTTTGCAGAGAGTGGTGAAGGCTGCACAGAAGTCTGTCGGAGTCAGTCTCCCCACCATCACAGACATCTACACCTCTAGATGCAGGAAGAGGGCTACCTGCATCATGAAGGACTTCACTCACCCAGCACACACACTTTTTGCCCCACTCCCCCCAGGAAGGAGGTTGAGGAGCATTAAGTGTAGAACCACTAGACTGAGGAACAGCTTCTACCCTGAGGCTGTTAGACTCATGAATCTCTAACTAGAATAATCACTGTGAAAAACCATATCATGTTGCTGCTGATCAGTTTCATGTTGCTGCTGATCTGTTTCAATGTTGATGTGTTCATGCGTGCACATCCGCTCACACAGACTCATGTTCATGTTTGTGCTGATGTTCAATTTTTTATGTTATGAGTGCTTAGTGTATATTTAGTTTATGTTTTTCTTAGTTCATATCTTAGATGTTATTACTGTTTTTCTTATACATTTTATTGTTGGATGTAACTGGGACCCTGTGTACATAATTTCGCTCCACCACATGTACCACATGAGGTGCGAATGACAATAAAGAAACTCTGACTCTGATATATATGTAGGTATGTATATATGGCTGTATGTATGGATGTATGTTTGGATGGATGGTTGGATGTGCATACAGCTTTATGTATGCATGCATGTATGTATGTATGTATGTATGTATGTATGTATGTATGTATGTATGTATGTATGTATGTATGTATGTATGTATGTATGTATGTATGTATGTATGTGTGTGTGTATGTGTGTGTGTGTGTGTGTGTATGTATGTATGTATGTATGTATGTATGTATGTATGTATGTATGT